TGGCCTGCACTGTGCCAGGGGCCAGGCCACGTGGGCGAGCTCCTCACTGTGGCCCTTTTGTCCCAGACACTTCAGGCACCCAGAGAGCTCTCTGAGGCAGTTTGCTCTGCTTCTGGCTGTTCTATTTCACTTTCCACTTCCCCTTTGAAGCCAGGGTAAAGGGAACCTAATGTGAAAATGGCTACAAACGAAGCATTCCAGTACACACAACTACTTACCACACAGAACACCAACTTAACCTACAATATGGGCGGCTCTTTTGGAAAGAGATGAGATATAAACATATACTGGGGGCTAGCGTTGTGGCATAGCGGGTAAAGCCACCACCTGCAGTGCCAGCATCCCATATGGGCACTGGTTCAAGTTCCAATGGCTCCAATTCTGATCCAGCTCTCTGCTATGGCTTGGGAAAGTAGAATATGGGCCCCTGTACCCACATGGGAGACATGGAGGAGGCTTCTGGCTCCTAGCTTCGGATTGACCCAGCTTTATCTGTTGCAGTCATTAGGGAGTGAACCAGTGGATTAGAAGACCTCTCTCTCTCTCTCTCTCTCTCTCTCTCTCTCTGCCTCTCTCTGCCTCTCTGAAATGCTGCCTTTCAAATAAACAAATAAATCTAATAATAAATCTAACAAATAATCTGATTTATTTGTTTATTTGAAAGGCAGCATTACAGAGAGAGGCAGAGACAGGGAGAGGGGTTTTCCATCTGCTGGTTCACTCCCTAGATGGCCACAATGGCCGGAGCTGAGCCAATCCGAAGCCAGGAGCCAGGAGCTTTTACCAGGTCAACCATGTGGGTACAGGTTAAGCCACTGTGCCACAGTGCCAGCCCTAACAAATAAAACTTTAAAACATATATATGGGGCTGGTACTGTGGCGTAGCAGGTGAGGCCTCCACCTGCACTGCTGGCATCCCATATGAGGTCCGGTTCGAGTCCTGTCTGCTCCACTTCTGATCCAGCTCTCTGCTGTAGCCTGGGAAAGTAGTAGAAGATGGCCCAAGTCCTTGGACCCCTGAACCCACATGAGAGACCTGGAAGAAGCTCCTGGCTCCTGGCTTCAGATTGGTGCAGCTCCTGCCAGCGTCCCAAGCTCCTGTGTGCGGAAACCTTTCTCCTGAGATAACTGGAGGGTCTCTGTGTTCCTTGCCACTCCCAAGATGGTGGCAACTTGGAACATCCTTCAGTGGAACCAGAACCGGATGCTCTGGGACTATGGGTTGAATCGTGAACCTCCAGATTCCTGTGTTGAAGTCCTAACTCTTAGGAGCTCGGAATATCTCTATGTTTAGCAACAGGGATCTCTGTAGTATAATTTAGTTAAAATGAGGTCATTATGGTGACCCTAATCTGATCCAACTGAGCTCCTTATTTTTTGTAGAAAAGGAGAGGAGTATTTAGCACAGTGGTTGGTTAAGACACCACTTGAGATGTCCACAATTGCACTGGAGTGCTCGGGTTCTCGTTCCAGCTCCACGCCCGATTCCAGCTTCCTGCTAGTGCATCCTGGGGAGCAGCAGGTGATGGCTCTAGTGCCTGGGTCTCTCCCACCTCTGTGGGAGCCCGGATTGAATCCCTGCCTCCTGGCTTTGGCCTGGCCTGGGCCCAGCCACTGTGGGCATTTGGGGGAATGAACCAGTGGATGGAAGATCTCTCTCTGCTTCTCTGCCTTTCAAATCAATAAAACACATTTTTTTTTTTCAAAAATGAGAAATTTGGAAACCGAAAGCCCACAGTGAGAATGTCATGTGGAGGTAAAGATGGCCCTGTGCAAGCCAAGGAGATGGATCTGGAACATTCTTCCTCATACCCTCAAAGGAACCAGCTCCACCCTCCCGCTAACCACCCCCCCACTGCATACTAATTTCCATGCTGTTTGAGAATCTCTTTCTGAGGTTTCAGCTGTGGAGACCCTCACAGGGAGGGCTCCAACAAGTCCATGCAAATGTATTATGAAAACACTGCACAGACTTTCCAAAGGCCCTGTGTATGCAGCGTGGCCCAGCAGGCCACCAGACCTGCACAATCCTACATCATCCATGACAATTCCAACGCGTTTACCTTTAGCCTGCAAAACAAGACCTATGCATTGATCTTTCATCTTATTTTAAACTCTGCATTTAAAACGTGCATAGTTTTAAATCCAATTCTTCCAGAAAGCTTTATATGAAAAAGGCAGCTCCTGCCTCTAGTCCCATCCTGCCACCCAGAGGCGTTTCTTGGTCGTGCTTTGAGCTCTCAGGAGCTAGCACCCCGAGCACAGGCCAAGGTCTCAGAGGGCAGCAGAGCCCAAACCCCGTGCTGGTTCTCCGTCCCAGGAGCTCCTTCACAAGAGCAACTGGAAGACTGCAGAGAAGGCGAAGGGATACGCCCATGGGGAAGCCGGAACTGCCGTGTCTCCCGGGTTGCCAAAGGAATTCGTGTCCTTAGAAGGGCACTGATGAGACCGGGGCCTCCCTGCGGCCTCCTGATGAAGGAGCCACGACAAGACTGAGAGCAGACTCCGAGCTGGCGGCCTGGAGAGTACCAGCCAGACATGGAGCCCCCACCAGACTTGCCCACAGCACCTCTGCTCGGGCCCAGGGAAGACCTTGGTTTGTAAACGTTAGATGCCAGTGGTCGTAGCAGCAGAATGTTACTGTGACTACCCTCATGCTTCCACAGGCCAAGTAACTGGCTTGCTGGGACTGCTTGCTCCCTCTAAGAAACTCGGTATTTTTCAAACTGTTCCAAACTATTGAAAAAGAAAAAGGAAAAAGTACAGATAACTCCCAGATACTCCTTTGCCCACTGCCCCGCCTCATTTTCCCTATTATTATCTTGTGTTAGGATGGCATATTTGCTCTAATTGATGAGCCCATATTCATTATTCTTACCTGGAGACCAGAGTTTACATTATGGTCACTCTTGGGGTTGCACAGCCTATGGGTTTGGACGAAAGTATAATGACGCTCATCCACCACTGTGGTATGCAGAACGGTTTCACTGCCCTAAACATCCATGTCCCACCAATTCATCCCTGTCCTCTCACCCCAAGTCACTGAGCTTCTGACTGTCCCCATGGTTTTGCCTTTTTCCAAGTGTCATATATTTGGAATCCTACAGTACGAAGCATTTTCAGAATAGCTTCTTTGACTTCGTAATAAGCACTGACTTGTCCTCTGCGTCATTTTGTGGCTCGACAGCTCATTTCTTCTTAGCACTGAATCACAGTCCATCGTCTGGGTGTGCCATTGTTTCTTTATCCAGTCACCTGCTGAAGGATGTCTTGATTACTTCCACACTTTGGCAATTACAGAGCAAAGTGCTACAAACAACTCCATCCAGGCTTTTGTGCATGCTTTTAGCACATCTGGGTAAATACTAAGGAGTATGATTGTTGAAGCTTATGGTAATAATGATTCATTTTGTAAGAAACTGTCAAACTGTCTTCCAAAGTAGCTGTAGCTTACTGCATTCTGCCAGCAATGAGTGAGAGTTCCTGCTGCTCTACACCCACCAGCATGCTCTCAGCATCGTCAGTGGTTTGGATTTTAGCCATCCTAATGGGTGCGTAGTGGTATCTCATTGTTATTTTGACTCGTAATCCCCTAATCACCTCATATCGATCCTCTTTTCCTTTGCTTATTTGCCATCTGTATATCTTTTTTAATGAAATGTCTACTCAGAGCTTTGGTCTACTTTTTAATTGGGTTGTTTCTTATTTTTGAGTACAAGAATTCTTTGTATACTTTGGATACCAGTCCATTAGCACATTCATCTTGCAAACATTTTCTCTCAGTGTAAGGCTTGTCTTCTTATCCCATTAGGCTTCACTGGATCTACAGCTGTTGCTCAAGAGCTGTCATATGGTACCCGTGCTTTCTGTATTGGAGTTCCTGAGCTCCAGTCCCAATTCCACTTCTGATTGCGACTTCCTGTCAGTGCACCTGGGATCCAGCAGATGAAAACTAAAGTACTTGGCCCCTGCCACCCATGTGGGAGACTCAGAATTCCTGGCTCCTGGCTTCAGCTTGGTCCAGCTCTGGTTCTGGGAATTTGGGGAGTGCACCTATAGATTAAGATCTTTCTCTCTCTCTTTCTCTGCCTCTCTCTCTGTCACTTGCCTTTCAAATCAACACATTTTCTTAGAAGAAGGAGGAGGAAGAGGAAGAGGAAAGAATTAAGGACTTGAAGGCAATCCACAACAGAAACTGTCACAGTTATATATATCTTAAAAGTTTACCTCAACTAAAAGAATGTACATTTTATTATAACAAGACATCACCCTATCTCCACACTCAATTATCAGATGGGCAGTGATGAAAGAAACTATCAAAAGTCAAAAATGTAGGAAACTGGCAGTCCTAAACAACCCTTATGAGCATGTAAATTGGTACAAACTTTCTGCATGTAGTTATCTATTGACAGTTTAAAATTTTTGAACAACAATAAGTTGGAATTTATCCCAGAGATAAAAACAGGGACACTGATATAAGTATGATGGTATTTATTGTTATTTACCACAGTAAAAAAAAAAAAAAAGCAGAAACACTCTAAATGTCCAACAGTAATAATGTTCGTGAGCATTTTTTGTCTGTCCATTCAAATAATGGATTATAATACTATTATGCAGTCATTATCTGATATTCATATATACATTTATTTAGAAGGCAAACTAAAGTACTAAAAGTAGTGAGACCCAGTTTTTGTTATATACATTTAAAATTATATACAATATAATTATATTAAATGTAAATATGCTATATATATTATATATTAAATGTAATTATATTATAAACATTAAAATGTTTGCCATGTAAATTTTACAAAATATATAACAGGATGGTGTGTGTGTATTTACACTTCTGGGATAAAATATCCAAGCATTGATGAGACTATTGTTGAATAATGAGATTCCTGTGATGTATTTTTTGGCACATTATCTTTATTTTCTAAATGCAAATGTGTTAAACACAAATAACAAAATGAGATAAAGTAAAACTAAATCTTATTTAAAGTCTTGTAAGAAGGAAGGTGGCAAGGGATGTTTGAAGCAACCCAGAGCTGGAGTTGGACCCTGCTCTGCACCTGCGGATGGCATGCCCTCTGCCAAGTCACTCCACTTCCTGGAGGCTCAGCTTCCTGCTCACACGCTGGGCATAACTGATCCTTCCTCACAATGTCATTGTGAGGGAGGTGTCTCCTTTCTATCATTCAACAGATGAATGCCATTCTACCAAGACCTCTCCTTTCCCTGATTCCGTCACCTCCTTAACTAGAAGTGATTTTGAACTAATCATTTAACACCAGCTGTTAGTAATTCCTAGTTAGGAATCAGACATGCACTGTTTTATTTGCAAAGGTCTTGCATTTTCTGGATTTGGTATCCTGTGTAATTCTCCATTTAGATTCGCTCATAACCTTGTCCATGAAGAAATGTATACGTATACTTACGTGTCCATAGGATGTATTTAGGAATGTTTCATGTTTAAACAATTAATTATTTTCATTTTATTTGGAAGGGAGGAAAGGCAGGGAGACAGCTTTTATCTGCTGGTTCACTCCCCAATTGCCCACAACAGCTGGGGCTGGGACCAGGCTCAAGCCAGGAGCCTAGAATTCAAATCTACGTTTCCCATGTGGGTGGCAGGAATCTAAGTGGGGTACACATTAGCAGGTAATTGGAATCAGGAGCTGGAGCTGGGGCTTGAACCCAAACGCTCCAGTATGGGATGCAGGTGTCCCAAGCTGTCTCTTAATCGCAGTACAAAATGCCTGTCCCAGGAATACTTCTGTGTATTCCTCCTGGTGCTAAGCACATGGCTCTGGCCTTAGTGTGATGGATGTCTACAAATGTTCAGAATGAAGAGATGGCTTTGGGAGGAAAGGTGTTGGGCTACTTGGGAGAAAATCTGATTTAAAATGCAGAGGCTTGAGCCTCCACATTTGGGCTTTCTTTGGCAGCAGGCTGGGCAGCTGGCCAGTATTAAAGTTCTCCAGCAGGGCACTGGGAAAGCCTGGGCACAGCTTTTTTTTCAGGGAGTTGCCTGGGCTGCCTGGCCCCTCCCACCTCCTCACTCCCAGACAAAGGCATTGAGAGGCTCTTACTGCCCTCATGTGGTCTGTTCTGGAACTACCTTTGAGAACACCCGCCCAGATCTAAACTTGGAGGAGTAACAGGGTTGAAGAGGAGGTGTGTTCATCTACAAGTATTTGTATGTGATAAAATCAAGGAGTCATCAAATATTTGTATAAATCTGGGGCAACAGTTATTAAGCACCTCCTGGGGTTTCCACAGTTTAGGAATTTACCATTTAAAAACTTTTAGAATGAATCTAGTAATACAGTGAATAAAATACTTATAAAATTTACAAAATCATGATGAACATCTGATACAGAAGGCTTGGTGAGGAATGATAAATACAAGAAAAAGAGTAATTTATGAGTTTGCACTATATAAAAGACTCAGAAGTTCCGCAAAGCTTATGATTATTGGAAACAAAATTGTCTCTGAAAACAAACTCCAATCATTTAAGGAAACACTTTCCCAACTTAGTTTCCAATGTGCTTCACAAGCAAGTGCAGACAATGGTAGGAGGGTATGTAGGTGAAGGAGTTGAGCACACTGGGATTTGAAGAAATAGGGAGGGATCTCTGCTCCAAGGAGAATTTCAGGAAAATTCTTCCATGTTCTCAAGTATAAGTGTTCTTTGGCAAAAATGTGTTATTTTCTCTGTGTAGTTATTAAAGGGTTTTTTTTAATTGCCATTCATAAATCCCCTCCCCTCACCCATTTCTCTTGGGTTTTCCATTCCTGCTCTTGGTTAATCTCTTCATGATACTTTAAGTCTTCTGTACTCCCTTATCCCATCCTTTATTGACTCAAACACCTTATGCTCAACTTTCAGTCCAAAATTTCTATTGCTTTAGGACTCTGGGAAGCAGTTGACAAAAGACAACACTAGCTACTAATGGAAGAGGTTCTCTAAACAAATTGTAAAAACATAAATATGAAATGTAGCAGTGGTCCCTTTAATTAGACAAACGAGCAATAAAGAGTCTGGACCATTAAGATAATTATTGAATTTGCTCTTCCTATACTGTGTCTTTAGATGCACATTTAGCCACTAAAGTTAAAGGATCGAGAACAAAAGGATAAGCAGATTCATGGTTAAGTATAAACTGGTTCTCTGGAGCAAAGACCAAAACTGATGAACTGGTTAAGTCATCACCTTGTACCAGCTCTAAGCTGTGTCTCAGACCTCAGACAAATCTCCATGAGGAGACTGGACATCAGTGCTAGCAGTGAAGGTGAAGCACCAGAGACCACATGCTGGAATACAGGAGCTTTGGGAAAACAGGATGACTTTGGTAATCTCTGGTATAATTTAAGGCACATCAAAGTAATTCCTCATCCTCAAACATCTGACTCTACACTTTGAAATTCCTATCATAGGATACTCCTTTGACTTAAGCCTTTGAGTGTCAAAGGCTACTAACTTAAATGCCAATACCTCATCTGGAAAAGGATGCTCATTAACATCCATAAAGTACCCATATATTCTCTATGATGGGTAATTTCTCATCAAAAGGCAGATCATGGTTCTTACAATGAGGGCCTTGGGATGAAGGTGATGAGGAACTAGGGAATAAAAAAATGTGAATATAAAGAGGGAAATCAGAGCACCAAGAGAAAAAGTAAGGGAGGGCTAACTCCTTTCTTCACTCACAACCTCACCTAGGCAGACCCAGGCTGGTGTGTTGAACAGCTGATAGGATGGTGGGTGCCTCAGAATGAGGCTGAGCTTTTAAGGCCACAGAGAGGGGGCTGCTTAGGCTTTGGGTGGTTCTACTCACCACTGGGAGACTAGGATTTGGGAAAGGTCCAGGGAACTGGAATGGGGTAGGTAATCATCACCCAGGCTTGTATAAGCTTATCTGGAGTTGGGCCAGGGTGGGAATTCTGTCCTTATACAGGGGGAGAAACTTTCCCATTAAAGAAGTGTATGTTTTGGGGAATAGTGGGGGGGAAGTTGTTGAGGCTCAGGCTGGGATGGGCCTGAACCTAGTGGTCACTCAGGCAGAGGACAGTTTTTCAGTCTGGACCAAGTAGATTCAAGTAGGATGCTCCTGTGAAATACTTGGAGAGGAAACACGGCAGTCTTGTCTTCATTTCCGCTCAATACAGTCCACTCCCATGGTGTTGTCAGGGCAACGGCAGGTCCTGCTACCTGGAGTGGCCAAGCAGAGGTGAGTGCAGCCGCCGTTGTTCACAGAGCAGTAGTTGTCGCCTGCAAAAGGCAGAAATCAGTTCAACAGCCTTCTCTGACCTGGCTCAACAGCCACTGAGAGACAGGACACCGTATTAACTTTACTTCATTTTCTGAGAGGCCAAAATTGTGGCCCGTTCCAGGGGAACAGAGAACACTGTACTAGGTACTCAGCTAAGCTAATCTGTTGTTTGTTAAACCAGACAGACAAAAACGCTGATTCTCCATTTGGGGGCTATACAAACTTACCACTAAAGCTATAAAACAAATCTCAGGGAGGGTTTTCCAGCTCTCATTAGAACATGGAGGCATAAAGCATAGAGCGCTTTCTACCTACTTACACTCCTGGTTTCACTCTAACTGGGGGAGAAGGAGAAAAGTAGAGAAGGGGAGAGGCCTTTGAGAGGCAGCATGGTATGGACTCTGGAGCCAGGTTGGCACCATGAGAGGTGCGACTTTGAACTTGTTTCCATTTCCTCATTTTTAAAATGAGCACAGCAGTGCCCACCTCATAGGGCTGCTGTGAGGATGAAATGAACTACGAATACAAAGCGAGTTGATCTATGCCAACTTACTAGCTCTCAGTAAATGCCAAACATATACTTGAAATTATTTTTATTAGTTATTGTTATCACTGTTAGGCCAAATATATGGACTTTAAATCAGCAGAGATCCAAACATTAATGTTCCATTTGGAACCTGAAGACTGTATACTTCTAGACCCAGTCCAAGACTCAGTACTTTATCTCTGTCTACTTCAGGCCTGGGTGTGTTCTATGTATTCACCTGGCTCATGTGCTCAGTAATGAAGATCCTTGAGAGACAGGACAGCTAGCAGTTGTACCGGCAGCCCAGCAGCAGCCACAGCGTGGACTCTATATCATCAGGTTGCCCCCAGGAGTATGGGGAGTAACAGTACAGGCAAGTTACCTTGGGGACACTGAGACAGGGCCGTGGTGATGCCATACAGCCGGGTCTGCTTGTGGGGGTGGAAGGAATCCATCTCTTTGGAAACAGCCAGATCGACAGCCACCACAGAATTCCTACAGAGCACAAAAGTCAGGAGCTCAGAAGTACATCTGATGGTTTGAACCTTTCTCCAGGGAGTGACTTTTTTGCAGTTTTGGGTATAAACTGGAGGCCATAAGCAGATACGGTGGCCTTGCTCCTGAGACATCCCTCCCTCCTGGGGTGCATCAGGCCTGCATTTCTCTGGCTTCCTAAAGAAAGGTGACGGTCAGCCAGCTTTCTCCTCCCTCTCTAAATTCCAGGCAGGAAACGGGCTTTCTCTTCAGAGCCCTTGGCCAGCTGCCTCCTCAGTTTAACCCCTCCTTTTGCAGAAAGGGTGGTCAACAAGGGGCTGTGGGAACATTGCGGTTTAAGAACCATAAACAGGGCATGAGTGGACATGCAGCTGGCCCCGGGGCCAGCTCCTGGGGGGAAGGGACAGACGTGCTCAGGAAGTCCAAGTTCACAGACTTGAAACTGCCCTGCCAGGAGCATCCAGATGACAATGGGCACCTCCTGCTCCCCTTCTCCTCCACCCCCCACCTGCATCCTGACAGCCCAAGGGTGAGGAAGAAAGGACATCTCTGCGTGTCAAGGTCAAGACAAGGGGCCAGAGGAAAGGGCCTGGCTTCCCAGAGACAGAGTGAAGCACAGGCCCGCCCAGCCTCAGCAGCAGCCAACTTACGTCTTCCAGTCTGTGTAGTACAGATTCTTCCCGTAGCTCGTCACAGCAAAAGGATACTGGAGCCCTTCGAGGACCTTGCGTCTGCCTGGCTGACTGGGGTGCAGGCACTCTGCCCGGTTGGTGCCTGTGTGCAGCAAAAACAAGTCCCTCATTGTTCGCTCCAGAAGTGGGCCCTTTGTGTCACAACTGGAGGGTGCCAGGGGCAGAGGCGGGAGAAATTTGGCATTACAGTGACAAATCCTAGAGAATACATGCAGCCTGGTCTTAAAACTGGAGAGCTGTCCCTCGCTCCTGTGCCCTGCCCCTTTCAACGATCGATACCCACTGCCACTCTGGCTCCCACACCTGCTTCTGCTGGGGAGTCGGGGGCTGGGGCAGAGAAAATGCAACTCGGCTCAGCTGGTCTGGAAGCAGCTGGTGCCTAGGTCTGCTCCTACCCCCAGGCTCCTTTCTCTCGGGAGGAAATACATCATCTTCCAGCTCTTGTCCAGGTTCCTCCTTCCTGAAGCTTCTCCAGCCCCTCCTGCTCTATGAATTCAGAGCCTTTAAGGATTGCTAACCCACAGCACTGGTGAGCAGCTGCACCCGGCTTCCATCAAAGGCCTGCATGATGACTGCATCTTAAGGCCTGGGATTTCACTGAAGTGCTCATGCCTCACTCTGTCCTAACAGGATGGGGACTGTGCCTCACAGCCTCTGCGTCCCACGTGGCACCTGACAGAGTGTCTAGAACAGATATTACTCAATAGAGACTCCTACGGAGAGAGACGATAGATGTTCCTCCCTGACTGAGCATTCTGCCCACATCCCTGGCCCGAGGGACACCCCACAGTTGCCAGGAAAGGGGCATACAGCAGGGACTGCTTGTGGGTGCTCTTACTTTATCTTTCTTGGCTCCAAGTCCTGCCTAAGCTTCTGGGGGACAGAGAGAGCTATGAAAAATGTAAGCTGTGAATTGCTTGACAGATATCAGGATGTCTACAGGTCCGTGCGGTACCTCTTAGAACAGGAGTCAGACAGCTTTGGCTGTGAGGCAAAACCAGGAACAGTAGGCAGGCATTTATACAACAACTTAAAATGTAACATTTTGGGGCTGGCACTGTGGTGTAGCAGGTGAAGCTGCTGCCTGCAGTGCTGGTACCCTATATGGGCACCGGTTTGAGACCCGGCTGCTCCACTTCCAATCCAGCTCCTTGCTATGGCCTGGGAAAGCAGCAGAAGATGGCCTGACTCCTTGGGCCCCTTCATCCACATGGGAAGACCCAGAGGAGGCGCCTGGGTTCGGATCTGCACAGCTCCAGCCGTTCTGACCCATTGGGGAGTGAACCAGTGGATGGAAGACCTCTCTCCTTCTCCCTCTGTGGAACTCTGACTTTCAAATAAATAAATTAAAAAAAAAAACAAATAAAATAAAATGTAACATTTTAAAATGCAAAACCCATATAACTTCTGGGTTACATGAAAGTAAGTGGCAGGTTAGATTTGGCCAAGGCTGTAGTCTGCCAAAGATGGAGAACTCTCCCTGGACAGGGGAAAGCCTGCCGTCACCTGCACCCACCCAGCAGAGCTGAGATGAGAACGTGTCGAAAGTCAGCCCGTTGGGCAACCCCAGGTCATCCTGCACAAGAATCCTGTGGTTGGTGCCGTCCATGTAGGAAGTCTCAATTTTGGGGTTGTCTCTGTTCCAGTCTGTCCAATAAAGGTTCTTGGAGGAGGAAAAGAAGGGGAAAGAGGAAGAGAAATAAGAAAGACCTATGAGAAAAAGTTTACACCTCGGTGCACCTAGGTGCTTTTTGGAGGTTTATACAGCTGGAGTGTTGATCTGTACTCAATCCATAGGGAAAATACCCAACTTCTGAGCTGTCACCTTACAAAGCCTTGGCAAAAGGTGTGCAAGCGGGGCATGGTTGCAAGTCCACATTGGAACACGTGCCCCGCGTTCTACTGACTATAGTCACGTATAGCACCCTCCATCCTGTACTACTTCACCACTGGAGTCAGAGCCTCACATCTGGGAACATCCGGAAGGGCAGATGTGGGTGGAACAGAGGCACACACATATTCACGCAATGATACCCTCTCACGGAATCCGTCACGATGCCTCGGGGGTTCACCAAATCGGTCTCGAACAGCACCCGGCGCTGGGTGCCATCCAGCTTGGCGACTTCTATCCGGTCCAGCTGAGAATCCGTCCAGAAGATGTTGCGGCCCAGGTGGTCAACGGCGATGCCTTCTGGGCTCCCGAGATCTAGAACCACACAGACAGCGCCGCTGACTTTTTTTTGCCTGAGCAGGTGCCGACTTGGTTTGTTTCTGATTACTCAGTGCTCTTTCCCATGACATCCACTCCCTGTGGCTTTGAATGTGAAATGCCTGCTGTTTATAGACAAGCAACCCTCAGAGTGACAAATCCGACATCATTCATTTGCTCACTGCGCTGGGGACCAGGACTGTAATGACCACTGTGCTGTTGCCCACAGCCCAGGAGAGACCCAGGGCCCAGCCTGGGGAAGCCACGGAGGGATTCCCAGGGAACTAGCTTCTTGAAGCTGGCTCCTAAGGATGGATAAGAGTGTGTCAGGCAAAGATGCTATATGAGGGTTTCAGGTAGCAGGATCAGAATTTAAGGAAAGCTCAGACCTGGCTTGATGTGAACTGTATGTAATCTTACACGGCTGGAGACAAGAAGCGGGACAGTGGCCAGAGATGCAGTTAGGGTGCTGAGATAACAAGCTTCGAGCTTATCTCATGGGCCAAGGGGAGACCCAGAAAGATCTTAAGGTGGGGAATGGAACACATGGAGCTATGGTATTTGATAATTGTGTGTTAGAAAGGTCATTTCAGAGAAACAATACCTCCAAGAAATTGTAGCTGTTACTTCATAGAAGTATAAGGGGTACATAGATGGAGTGACAGTAATTACAAATAAGCCTCCTGGAGGTCTCCACTGGGCCACAACAACTGGTTTCAAACCAAGGGTTGCCACTGGGAACTTGCAATGTGAGTCTTCTGCTCCCTTTTAAGTTGTATTAGTTGAAGATAGCAATGCTTTCTTAAACTTTAAAACAATACAAAAAAAAAAAAATGAGGCAACTTGGGTTTTATTGGTACCACTGAAGGCCACTGAGTACAGTGTACACAGGAAGGGGAAGAGAATGCCCCATTTGAGGAATCTGGGCTGTGAAGACTGGGTTCCTCCATCAAGTTAAAAGCACTGCAGACCCTCGGCTCTCTGGGTTCAGGCCTTCACTGGGCCCCTAAAACAGAAACACTGAAGTCCGGGAAAGGACATTCCCAAGGGACATTTATGAAGACTCAGAAACCACACTTGAACAAGGTCTGTACTACCCAAAATAAAGTGGGGAAGTATACAGTATTCAGATACTTCCCACCTCCCTGAAGGCACAGAGACAGGGTAACTGATCCCCTGTCAGTCCCTTTGTGGCTTTCAGACAGAGCAGATCACTGTGGGGGTATATTTGGAACGAGCATGTTCTATGAGAGACACGAGCCGCTCAGACTCAGAGAGGGAGGGAGGGAGGGAGGGAGAGAGAGAGAGAGGGAGAGAGAGAGAGGAGGACCAAAGCTGGTCAACAAGAAAATCAATAGGATACCAGCAGGGAAACCCTGGAGGAAGCTCCATGTCCCGCCGTCTCTCTATAACATCTGGTCCTGACAACCAAAGCCCTTCTCCACCCCCAACCAGAAAGAACTCCCTCGGGGGCTGTGCTGGGAAGCCTTGCCCTTTACTGTTCAGTGGGAGGAAGAAGCCTAGAGAGGAAGGTGACAGAGGTGACAGAGCTGCACTGCTCCTGTCAGAGGAGACAGATTACCATCGTTCCTAGAATATTTGGCTGGGACTTCACCTCAAGGGAAGAGAAGTTCAGGATTCGGACTGAACGAAATAAGGAAGAAAAGGTAACCACCGCCACTCTCATGCACTAGGGAAGTCCAACCTGTACCATGCAAGTTCCTGTCCCTCATATTAATATATAAATACATAGAGTTCTTTCTTCGCACAGATCCTGTTTTGGTTGTATTCTGTTTCCCCAGTGAGTAGGCTTTCTGCTTGGAATGTTTCTTGCTGTGCTTCAAGTTTTCTTGGATGACTATCAGGTCCAAAAACAACAGGAAATGGCAAATGATGACATACTCCCCACTTCCACTGGGTTTTTAAATCAAATAGTAGATAATAATAGCAACATTTTTAAGAGAGAAAGAAAGAGAAAAGAGAGAAAGAAGATGCAAAAAAAGGCATTTTTGAACTTCAATTCATTAAACCAAAGCATGAAAACGAGCAGACTTTATATAGTCTGTTGGCTCCCAGAGAAGGATTTGGGGTCTGTATCCAAAGCCAGACATAGTAAATTCATCCTCAGCTTCTTGTCTCCTGTGAAGGAGCCAAGGAAGGGAAAACATGCCCCAGGGGTTGTTCACCAGGATAGGGACGCTTCCAGAACATCAATTGTTAGGGAGACGTGTAAGCTGGAAACCGAAAAAGCTACACTCGTTCCTAAATAAAAAGAAAATATGACGGGGTGGTGCTGTGTACAGTGGGTTAAGCCTCAGCCTGCCGACTCTGGCATCCTCTATGAGTGCTAGTTCTAGTCCTGGCTGTAAATGCCCTAGATAGAAACTGGGGAGTTAGTGTTTTAAAAATTAATGGTCAGGGCACCAGCGCTGTGGCATAGGGGGTAAAGCTGCTGTCTGAGGTGCCAGCATCCCCTATGGGCATCAGTTCAAGTCCCGGCTGCTCCACTTGTGATCCAGCTCTCTGCTAATGCACCTGGGAAGGTAGCAGATGATGGCTCAAGTACTTGGGCCCCTGCACCCATGTGGGAGACCTGGACAGAGCTTCCGGCTCCTGGTTTCAGCCTAGCCCAAACCCAACCATCATGGCCATTTGGGGAGTGAACCAGCATATGGAAGATCTCTTTCTCTCTCTCTCCCTTCTCACTCTGTCTTTAAAATAAATAAAAGGAACCTTATAAGTAAATAAAAAGAAACATGAAATAAGGCTCAAAGACTTTAAAGATGACCGAACAAAGGTAACTTTACAACAAGTACCATCAGCTTGATCATGTCTTTTGAGCAAAAACATTCCCAGCTAAGCTGATGAGTCACTGACCTATTGAGCAACATGTAATTCTTGACCTTTTCAGAACAGGGTCATTTTTGCCTGGATTTTTGTTGTAATGCTCTTTAAGCCAGATAAAGGACACCTGTTGTAAAACAGTCCTGACTTGTTGAATGTAGGCAATAAAACAATGTAGAGTTCTTGATTTCAATTGGTATCCTTAAGGGATTGGGGTTAGGTGGTGAAGTGCAGGCTGTGCCAAAGCATCAGACACTTTATCATCAGTGACACAACAAAAAAACCGAGAAATGTCTGCAGCATTCAGCCTGATCTGTTGTCCTCCGGTGCAGGCAATCAGAGCGAGTGCAGTGGGGACAAGGTGAAGAAGGGAACCTACCCCAGCTTGTGATGTGACAGCTGAAGTGACAACCCCTTAACTGGACAATTGTGTTGGGAACAGGTGCAACCATCGGAGTTGCTATTTGCTACATGCTTGTGATTCTCTGTACGGTATGGTTCATCTTCTTGCTGCTTTTGGGAAAATCCAAGTGGAACGCCTCATGGGACAGACACTCAGACAATCAATTCCAGGCTTAGAAGCTTGAGGGAGAATGCATGTTCAACCCTGCTGGCGAGTCTGACTTTTATTGTTCATGAAAACTTGACAACATAAAGCTTTCAGAAAAGGCCTAGGCACTAGTGTTTTTTCTGTTAGCTATTCTGAAATCCTCAATGATCGTCAACTACTTGCTGGCACCTTACTATGCTACAGACGTTACCTATAGAGGTTTTTTTTTTTTTTTTATGTCTCTTTTTTTTTTTCTTGGCAGGCTGAGTGGACAGTGAGAGAGACAGAGAGAAAGGTCTTCCTTTGCCGTTGGTTCACCCTCCAATGGCCACCGCGGCCAGCGTAATGCGGCCGGCACACCGCGCTGATCCGATGGCAGGAGCCGGGTGCTTCTCCTGGTCTCCCATGGGGTGCAGGGCCCAAGCACTTGGGCCATCCTCCACTGCCTTCCCGGGCCACAGCAGAGAGCTGGCCTGGAAGAGGGGCAACTGGGACAGAATCTGGTGCCCTGGCTGGGACTTTTACCTGGGGTGCCGGCACCGCAAGGCAGAGGATTAGCTTACTGAGCCACGGCGCCTGCCACCTATAGGGGTTTTTTTAAAAAAAATATTTATTGGCTGGCACCGCACCTCAATAGGCTAACCCTCTGCCTGCAGCGCCGGCACCCCAGGTTCTAGTCCTGGTCGGGCCGCCGGATTCTGTCCCGACTGCCCCTCTTCCAGGCCAGCTCTCTGCTGTGACCCAGGAGTGCAGTTGAGGATGGCCCAAGTCCTTGGGCCCTGCACCCACATGGGAGACCAGGAGAAGCACCTGGCTCCTGGCTTCAGATCAGGGCAGTGCACCAGCCAGGGCAGCCATTGGAGGGTGAACCAACGGTAAAGGAAGACCTTTCTCTTTCTCTCTCCATGTCTCTCTGCCTGTCAAAAAAAAATTTATTTACTTTCATATTATTGGAAATTCAAAGAGACAGACAGAGGTCTTCCATCCATCATTCCAATGCCCACAAAGCCATCAGCCCAGATCTTAACTGGGTCTCCCACATCGGAGATAAGGACCAAAGTATGTGAGCTATCATCTGCTTCCTCTCAGGGTGCACCTTAGCAGGAAGCTGGATAGGAAGTGGAGTAGCCAAGACTCAAACCAGGCACTCTGATCTGGGATGCGGGTTTCCCAAAGGGCGTCTTAACTGCTACAACACAACCACCACCTTGCCTACAGTCTTCAAGACCCAGGAAGGACTGGATTTTATTCTAAAGTCAATTGGGGACCCATTGAGGGTTCTGTGCAGGGCAAGGACATGAATCTGATGAAGGGTGCTTCGGAAGAGGCATTTGAGAAGCCTCTTTTATTTTGGATACATTTGTGCTGATGTTTCTTTTCTAGCCCAAAAGAAGGGATATGGTAGTGTGTGGCATCTGTGATGTGGAAATCCATGCAGCAAGGAAGAAAAGAGAAGCTGGAAGCAAGGCCTGAGACAGGCAAGATGCACACATGGAATCGTTCCAAGATTCCAGCAGGCCCTGGTGTGACAACTCAGGAACAATGGACCCGTCTGCTGGAATTTCATTTACAAGGGCTGAGGACCCAGGCCCCTGGCTCTGCTTCATTCCTCATGAGGCTCTTACACCCCTCCCACTCTGTTGGCAACTCGGCCCCAAGTCCACTGTGAAAGCCCCCAGGTCTGTGTGGTTTCTTGGCAGAGGTCAGGGGTCCCTAATAAACAGAGTGCTCTTCACAAGTGACTGACCTATAATGCACACAAATGTCCTATTCACAAAACGCATCTCTGAAGCTTTCAAAGGCCTCGAAGCCAGAGCTTGCTACTTGCCACAGTGCAGACAGGAGACCTCGAGATGTCTTTGAAAAGATGGAATCATGATCAACTTAGCAGGAACAGAAGGTCAAACCCAACAGGTGCATGCAGGTGAGATACCAAAGTCTGCAAAGGCCCCACCAAGGCATCACTGCATGGCCTTCCTAAGTCTGCTCCCATTCATTCTGAGCCTCCCAGGCAGCTTGGGAATACAGTGAACCCAGGACCATGAAGATGAGCAGCCCTGGTTCCAGGGTTTGAGCCCAGGCCCCTGTTTATTTCTGCAGGTCACAGAGCAGGAGCTGTCACCAGGTACAATCAGCCAGCACTCACCGGCATATGCAGTAAAGCCTTGGCTTCCGTCTTCTTCTTGGTGTTTCCATCCAGTAGCATGTTCTCTATCTTCCCAGTCTGGGCAAAGAGTAGGTGGGTTCCAGGGGGCAGAGGGATCACAGCGGTAGGTACTAAGGGTCTCTGATGAATCGGTGGAGCCACAGTACTCAGACCTAGGTTGCAGTAGAGGTGGATGAGCAAGGCCGGTGCACACAAGGAACACACAGATGCACACATACACACACGCACACCGTGTGTGCACACCCACACATCCACACATCCAGTAACATAACCTTCATGGCCCAACAAACTCCATAGCCACACAACACTCATTTCCCACCTGGAAGCAGCAGAAGTAGGATATGCTCAGCCAAATGACATTTGTGGACGAGATAATGTAGGCAGGGGCTTCACATTCAGCTCAGGTGGGGGAAAAGTGCTTAGCTTCCCTCTTCACAGAGATCACTTGGCTATTCACGCTCTGCTTTGCACACTGGGGCTGGCCACTGGTGAACCAAGCACTAACAGCAGCAGCCTGAATCTCCTGCCATGGGGAGTCGCCTTCTAATGGAAGCTTCGCTGCAGGAGCCCAGCAGAATGAGCCTGCACTATGGGCCCTGTCCCTCGGCCATGGGCTGGGACTGCTGTGCATGGGACAAACTGGAACATGCCCCTTCTGGGCTTTGAAGAACTAAGGGATGGTGGGGAACTCCTTCTCCCTCAGCTTCAGCCTTGCCCTCCCAACTGCTGACCTTGGCCCCTGGCACCACTTCCTGACTCACCTGATGACACTGTCCCAGGAGTGCACAGGTAGCTGGTGCTGCAGGGGAGGAGCACTGACCAGGTGCTGGGGGACCTGGGGGAACCTAGGACTGGGCCCTGTCACTCTCTCATTGTGTGTGCACCTTTCTAGGCTCTGTCCTCTTCTCTCAAAAGTGAGACCTGGACCAGGTCATCGCCAAGGTCATTTCCAGTTCTCTCCCTTGTCTGTCTTGCCTGTTACACCTAACTAGTGACATAAACCAGTCCAGTGCACCTCTAGAATCTCCGAGTTCCATCAGTCCGCTCCAGACTCACTGCCAGCACCCTGGGTCGGCCCCTCCCATTCCTCACCTGGCTTAATCCTAAGCTGGCAAGAGAGGCTGAGGCTCTTATGCCCGCATCCCAGTTCCTGCTGTCCAGCAGTGATATCGCTAAAACCGAAATCTGCTTCGCACCATTGATGACCACTCGAAAGCCTCCCAAAGCCTTCTGGGCTCCCTGCTGTCCTCAGGACCAACACCCAGGTCCACAGCTTAGCACGGACACTGCTCTGCTGCCCGGAGCAACAGCCTCACTCCCTGCTCCATGCTCTGGAAAGTACCCTCGCCCCCCCCCCCCAGCCAACACCCTGCACAAGCCCTGCACTGCCCCCGGCTGCAGGCCTGTCCCTCAGTGTCCTCAGGGGCTGGCACTATGACTTTCCGCTGGGTATCCACAGCGCTGACGCTTGGCTAACACTGGCTGTGTGAAGGCTGTGAGTAACCACTTCTCGGTCTCTTAGCAGCTGATGTTGGGGTGGGGGAGGTTGTCCATCTGTGATGATTATTAGGTAATTTGAGAACAGAGACTCAAGGATTGGTTAGGTCTGCTTGTGGCATTTGTGACAGTGACCAGTTTCTGGGCCAGAACCAGCATTTCAGAGCTGAGGGCGCGCCCCAGGATGATTTTGTTCCTATCTGCTGTTGAGGCTGAGGCTGGAGGAGCCTCATTCACAGCCACGTAGCCCAGCAGGGTCTCAGACAGGGCCCCCAGCCCTCAGCATGGCGCCTTCCCAGCAACCTTTGCAGCGGTCTATGCCTTGGGTTTGAAAATCCACCAAAGCCCCTCAAGGCCCTGGGCCCTGACTGTGAAGGAGGCGAGTGCTGCAAGGGTGAGAATGGGCCCCCCCCTGCGCCTGAGGAAGCAGAGACCCAAGGAAGGGCTCGCCTCACCACCCCCACCCTGTCCTGCTGCGGCGCATCCCAGCATTCACCTGGGAGACCACCAGTGTTCACCAGAGCACCATCTGCTCCCTGCCACATCACAGTGGCGGTGCAGCAGGTCCCACTAAGGACTGACAGAACTTGCCAGTGCGTGGAGAGGGAGGGGGAAGGTGAGAAGATGGAGAGGGGCAGAGGGTAGAAGGGGGTCAGGGAAGGGGACAGGCACTGCTTATTCGGCCCCGGAGGCCCTGCTGGGGCATGAATCCAAGCACAGCCCGCCCTCCACTTACACGGGGGCCTCATCCCGGGTCTGGTCCTTGTGCCCTCCACCTCACGGCCATCGCGATCCACGCACCAGCAGTAGCCTGTGCTGCCGTGGCACTGGGTAGGCGAGTAGTGTCCGTGCTCATCACACTTGGGGACAAACAGCCCCGGTGGGCGGGGCCGCTGTGCATCCGCTGCCCCCCCCCCCCCCCTTCCAAAAATGTTTTTTTTCTTTGTTTTGCAACGGGGCTTTTCATTGTTTAAGTGAACGAATGACCAGCCCCCCTTTTAACAGATTAACGAAATTTCATCTAGGACTTCCCAAAAGGAGGAGGAACCTCCCCATTCTGAGCCAGGAAATGGAATTTCAAGCACGCTTACGGAAAGCTGATGACGTGATGAGCTCAGTGGGATTCCTGGGATGGTTCCTCAGTGTGGGGAGCAACTCGGACTAGACTAAGTTACTGGAATTAAGACTTATTCTATGCATCTGCTCTCCCACAATATGGCGCTGGGAGAGGAGGAAACAGCTTCTACACAGCTGCCTCCAGTTCAACCAATAAACAGCAGGACCTGCTCCTGATTGGAGGACAGCAGCGTACTCGGCGTGTGGGTAGCAGAGTTGGGATTGGTGGAAGAGGACTATAAAGGAGGAGAGAGACAACATGCACCAGGAACATCTATCTGAAGGAACACCTGTGCAGCCCCCGAGAGAGCCAGCCGGCGGTTTGCCGCTCCCCTGCGGAAGTGGGGAAAGTGGCCAGGGGGAACCGCCCTTCCACGGAGGTGGAAGGGACGGTAGCCAACCCAGGAAGAACCAGCAGCAAACCCGGGGAGGGCCGAGCAGACGAAAGAACAACACAGGGTCCTGTGTCGTTCCTCCACAAAGACGGGGAGCGACATAATGGTGCCGTGACTCGGATATGAAGCCTAGGCAGGGTTTAGTGTCGTTCCTCCACGATGAGGGGGAGCGACATAATGGTGCCGTGATTCGGATAGGAAACCTAGGAGGGAAGAAGCGGGAAAAAGTGGGAAAATACCGGAGAGACTAGCAAAGAGCCTAGGGAAAAGCTGGACGGAAAAGGTGCCGGAAGAAGCTATTGAAAGCCTAGGCATAGACTCGGATATGGACTGTGGGAAAGAAGCTAGGATTTAAAGTGAAAGCAAGAAGAAACTTAGACTCAGATACGTACTGCAGGTTGAAAGCGAAAGTGAAACCTAGAAGAAACTTAGACTTGGATACGGACTGTGGGGAGAAGCCAGGAGAAATGAGAGGGGAATATTGTTGGAAGAAAAGTTAGGAAACATACCGGGTAGAGAAAAATATGTTAGGGAGGATGAAGCCGCGGGGGCAGGCCGAGGCGGAGACGTAAGCTATCTTGGAATTCTTCAAGTCAGCCCGGGGAGCAAAAGGCGAAAATCTGGAACCAGAGGCAGAGACGTGGGCCGCCAGGTTGGAATCCGTCAGATTAGCCCGGGGAGCAAAAGACGGGAAGTCAAACCGAAAGGCGGAGGCGTGAGCCAGGTTGAATTCACCAGGTTAGCCCGGGGAACTTGGCTTGAATGCCGGTGGCGGAAACGTGAGCTGGGCTGTGTGATTCGCGGAAGCCGCCGCGTGCAGAGAGAGCACGGGGCGTGAATAGATAGGGAACGCGGGGCTGGCGCGAAGGCCTTGGTGTGGGCGCGAAGGGCGTGGAGACCACGGAGCACGCGAATAGATGCCGGGAAGCCGCGCAGAGCCGGGAAGCAGCCTCGGGGTGAGGCGCCAAGAAGCAGCCTTGGGGCGGGCGCCGGGAAGCTGCGGGGATAAGAGAAACAGAATTTAGAAGTAAAATGAGAGAAATAGGAATGCTGGCAGATAGAAGTAAAATAGGAGAAATAGGAATGCCCGGAGATAGAGAAATAGAGAAAAATAAGGCCTCCCCACAACATGGCAATGAGAGAGCTTGGATTCGGTCTGCCTGATTAGTAAGACGATAAGCACCTGTGGGAGGCCGCAGGTCACCGAAGACAGGCACGAATTAACATCAATAAGTCTCCCCACAAGACGGCAATGAGAAGGCTTGGATTCGGTTTGCCTGATTGGTAGGGCTTCTAAGTACCTGCAGGCAGTTCTAGCAGACCAGAGCATGCGCTGCAGGGCACCGAACTCAGGCACGCATCAGTGCCTAAAAACCTCCTCATAACATGGCGAAGAGAGGACCCGGATTCGGTTTGCCTGATTGGTAGGGCTTGTAAGCACCTGTGGGCAACTCCAGCAAGCAGAGCAGAGTGTGCGCCGCGGGGCACCGAAGACAGGCGCATATCAACGCCAAAAATAAAAAGAAAGGGGGATGTGTGGGGAGCAACTCAGACTAGACTAAGTTACTGGAATTAAGACTTATTCTATGCATCTGCTCTCCCACAATATGGCGCTGGGAGAGGAGGAAACAGCTTCTACACAGCTGCCTCCAGTTCAACCAATAAACAGCAGGACCTGCTCCTGATTGGAGGACAGCAGCATACTCGGCGTGTGGGTAGCAGAGTTGGGATTGGTGGAAGAGGACTATAAAGGAGGAGAGAGACAACATGCACCAGGAACATCTATCTGAAGGAACACCTGTGCAGCCCCCGAGAGAGCCAGCCGGCAGTGTGCCGCTCCCCCGCGGAAGTGGGGAAAGTGGCCAGGGGGAACCGCCCTTCCACGGAGGTGGAAGGGACGGTAGCCAACCCGGGAAGAACCAACAGCAAACCCGGGGAGGGCCGAGCAGACAAAAGAACAGCGCAGGGTCCTGTGTCGTTCCTCCACGAAGACAGGGAGCGACATAAAGGTGCCGTAACTCGGATATGAAGCCTAGGCAGGGTTCAGTGTCGCTCCTCCACGAAGAGGGGGAGCGACACCTCAGCCTGGCCAGCAGGCAGTGGGAGCAGCCCAGGGGCTCCCAGGGAGCCTCCTGCTGAGGGCCCCAGGCCTCCATGGAGGATTTTCCATCAAGGGCCTGGAGGATGGAGGGGCAGGGAGCTGGAGTAACACTCACATACACATACTTCCTAGGCTTGCTTCTGGCTGATAAAATAACTCTGGCAAGCTGCCTCTTACTCATCGCCTCTGATCTGCTGCAGGAGGAAGACCTGATACTTATCTGACCAGTGGCAGGAAGTTGGGATGACTTTTCTCAAGGTGAAGGCCAGAGAATGAGAGGGAGGGAAGTTATGAAGAAAGCGCATTTTTGATCTCCAGATTTGCATTCCACTCCCTCGTCAGGTTAAAGCTGTGTCTCTGTGTTCTGTGAAATAATGGCTATTACAGTCTCGGATTCACTCTGGAGTGGGGGAGGGGAGGAGTGGTCAGGAAATGTGGAGCCTCTCTGGGAAGAAAAGACTTGAAGCAACAGCAGGACCTGTGGGCTACCTAAGAGTGGAAGTGTCACAGAAAGCTTAGCAAGGAAGGCTAAGCCTCTGCCTGTGGTGCCAGCATCCCAAGGCGTCGGTTCATGTCCTAGCTACTCCTCTTACAATTCAGCTCTCTGCCTGTGGCCTGGGAAGGCAGTGGAAAATGGCCCAAGTATTTGGGCCTCTGTACCCTGTGGGAGACCCAGAAGAAGCTCCTCAGTTCTGGTTTCGCACTGTCCTGGCTCCAGCCAATTTTGGAGTGAACCAACAGATGGAAGCCCTCTCTCTTCCTCACTGCAACTCTACCTCTTCAAATAAATAAAGTCTTTTTTAAAAAATGGAATTTTCATGGGGAGACACTGTTTATCCAATATCTTCCTGCACGATCAGAGCTGTGCTGCTCCCAGGGGCTTCACCTGCTCTAAGCACCTCCACAGCATACATCCTTGCATGCGGTAATGCCAGTGTGGCAGATGACGCCTGGCCTCTGCTGGCACTGAGACCCGCAGCTCACAGCCTCATCTCATGAGCTGCCAAATGTTCCCAGAAAGCACATTTCCAAGAGTGGAGGTTCACAAGTAAAGAAGACACTGGCAGCCTGACATGGTTTTGATCCTGCTGTCCCCAGGGATTTGTTACAAACACTACTACTTGTAGAAAACACAGTAGATCCTTCTAGTAGCAGAATGCTCTTCAAGGCTTCTCCCAGCCTTCCAGGATTGGGGAGGAAGCAGCACATCCAGGGAGGGGAGGGGAGCTGGCAATGAGCAAAGCACAAAGAGTGGAAAGCAAAAAGGGCGTGGAAGGGCTGGCACTGTGGCACAGCAGGTTAAAGCCCCAGCCTGCAGTACCACCATCCCATATGGGTGCCAGTTCAAGTCTCGGGTGTTCCACTTCCAATCCAGCTCTCTGCTAATGTGCCTGGGAAAGCAGTGAAGGATGGCTCAAGTCCCTGGGCCCCTGTACCCAAGTGGGAGAGCCAGAAGAAGCTTCTGGCACCTGGCTTCTGATCACTTCAGCTCTGGTTATTGAGGCCATTTGGGGAGTGAACCAATGGATGGAAGATACCTCTCCCTATATAACTCTCTCAAATAAATAAAAGTATTTTTTAAAAGATTTTATCTATTAATTTGAGAGGTAGAGTCACAGACAGTGAGAGGAAGAGACAGAGAGAAAGGTCTTCCTTCTGTTTCTTCACTCTGCAAACTGCCACAATGGCTGGAGCTGTGCTGATCCAAAGCCAGGAGCTTCTTCCAGGACTCCCATGCGGTGCAGGGGCTTGAGCACCTGGGCCATCTTCTACTGCTTTCCCAGGCCATAGCAGAGAGCTGGACTGGAAGAGGAGCAGCCAGTACTAGAACCAGTGCCCATATGGGATGCCAGCATTGCAGGCAGAGGATTAACCTACTACACAACAGCACCAGCTGCAATAAAAGTATTAAAAAAAAAAAAAAAAAGCATACAACACCAGGAAAAGCAGTTAGCCCTGTAGCTTGTGAGTGCCATCTCTTTTGTCACCATTTGAAAGTGCACTGTTGAGCTTTCTTCATCCCTGTGTCCCAGAGTGCTCCCCCCCAGCCCCCTTCTAAAACCCTGCTGCTATATGCTTTCAAATCACTGTATGTAGGGGCTGACATGGTGGTGCCCCTGACATTAAGCCTCTAACTGAAACACCAGCATCCCCAGTGAGTCCTGACTGCTCCACTTCCAATCCAGCCCCCTGCTACTGCACCTGGGTAGGAGGCAGAAGGCCCGAGAGCTTGGACCACTGCCACCCATGTGGGAGACACAGACGGAATTTGACTCCTGGCTTCAGCCTGGCCCATCCCCGGCTGTAGC